GACGTGTTTATCGGTGTACGTGCATTTAAAACTCAATAATACTCGATTTTTCTTTAAAATTGTGATTTCAGTGTTATCGTCAAAGTTCGATTATCAACAGAGATAACAACTGCAGAGAAAAAAATTGTAATTTATCGGCAATATATAGGATATTATAGCTTTACAAATATGCATATTTATTTATAGAGCATTTATGTAATAAAATATCATGAATTTAATAATGTATTAGTCAAATATTTATGTTAATAATAGTAAATTTATATCAATTGTCGATAATGTCAGCGTTCTTCGATTACCTCCGGGCTTCTTGGGGCCCTTTTTATACCTCCGAAAATTTGCCCAGGGTTGACGGTCTTTAATAGTATCTCGTCGGTGTTAATGTATACGTTTTTTGTACGTAGAGGCGCCAGTGAGCAGGTTTCAAATTCCAACTATTCCCAAGTGCACTCTCAACTTCAAGGCTTTTTTCCACTTCTCTCCAGCGAGATGTAACTGATGTAAATACGAGGAATAACGATGTCATCGTCAGGAAATTATTTGAAAAAAGGGGGAAAAATGAACGATAATAAATATAGAAGGCGCGGATGTGTATAATCTGTAATTCTCTTTCTCTCTCATATGCACGTGCGTACAGAAGCTAATTCGCACTGTACGTTGTGCACCGTCATCGATATTTATTCCTCGCTCCGGCCGGATTGTCAACAAGCGTTATTTAAGACGGCGGGACGAAATCTTTCTGACGTGTTCGACGGCTAGATACGAGGATCAGAATGAACGCGAAGCATCTGAGTACTGGTACTAGAGAAGTATTTTTTACGTTGCGTAAAATCGAGGGATTGATAGGTTTGCGAGGTATGTACAAAAATGTGCGTTCTTTTCAGGATCGGTACCACCGCCCCTCGTTCCCGGAAAAATACGCTTGTACAGCATGCGTTTTTGTCCGTACGCGCAAAGGATTCACCTTGTACTGGACGCCAAGCAAATTCCGTAAGTTGTGATTATGCGGCAAAACAATTGTTATCTTTAATCGTTACCTTTTTTGTTTAAAGTGTCAAACTTTTTATTAGTATATTATTTTAATATTATATAATTTCTAAGTAATTTAGCAAATTTCTTTTCATACATTCGCCAAGTGATATAATATAACGATATATATTAATTTAACACAAAATATTCGTCACTAAGTAAGAGAAACGCGAATTGCAAAGTATTCATTTTATAAAAAGAGAAAGATTGTTCCTGAAAAAAATTTCTAATTTACAAATTGATAAATCATTTACTTATCTGTGTGATGGAAACGTATAAAAGTAATGTCTTTCTCTTGCATTGTTTGCTTTTAGATATGATGTAGTTAATGTGAATTTAATAGACAAGCCTGACTGGTTGATAGAAAAGAGCCCCCTTAACAAAGTTCCTTGTATCGAGCTGGAAGGAGGAGAAACACTGTATGAAAGTCTAATTATCGCTGAATACTTGGATAATGCGTACCCTCAAAACAAACTATACCCAAATGATCCTTTAGCAAAGGCTAAAGATAAGTTATTGATCGATAGATTTAATACAGTGATTGCAACTATGCATAGGGTATTCGTTTTATACTGATTCCATTTAGAAATATTTACATGTATTCTCGTCTATAATTTTCAAATACATTCCCATGATGGTCTTATTGTATTTGACTTTTAGGGATTGTCGGAAACAGCATTGGTACAAGATGTATTCAACGAGGCGTTAACTGGCCTAGAATTCTTTGATCGGGAGTTGGTGAAAAGAGGAACTCCCTTTTTCGGAGGCAGCAAACCCGGTATGCTGGACTTAATGATATGGCCATGGTGTGAAAGGGCAGATGTAATAAGAATTATAAAGGGAGAGCAGTATGTCTTACCTCGAGATCGTTTCTTACGACTGGTAATTATCATTATCAGAAGCTGACATATATAGGGATGTTTCCTGAAACAAAAAGGAATAATGGATTTTAACAAAAGAATCAATTTTTGTTATAGAACATGTAGCCTCTCCGATGCATTTTTTGCTACTTGTCCAATCGTGTGTGACGTCTGAAAATATACTAGTTCGCGTCCTTTGATTTTATTTTGAAAGATAAAAAAAAAGCAAAAATGTAGACTAATATCTATCAGACGTCACGCGCAATATTACCGTGATTGCATACCTCACAACCGATTCAAACAAGAACGCATAGCTCTAAAAATTAGCGACAAGTTTTGTTTCTAAACAAAAGTTTCTCTTTTTTTGTTGAAATGTATTATCTCTTAAAGAGTTTGTCCCAGAGATTTTAAAACGTCTCATATATCGATTGTAATAAAAATTTTTATGTAATATAGCTTGAATGGAGAGTTGCCATGAAAGAAGATCCTGCAGTGAGTGGCAGCTTCCTGGATGCCGAAATGCACGCCAAGTACATGCGTAGTCGTCTAGCTGGGACACCTCAGTACGATTTAATAGCTAACACCTAAAGATAATTTAGCCTATGTCCCATTTTGTTTGCAATATTAAAATCAAGCGATACTCCACTTTGTATGTGCCATTTCTTTCAGCGTAATAAATTATATTTTATAATAAATATATATATATACACATGTATATATTAAAAAATAAAATTGATATTGTGTATATCTAAAACAAATACTAACTAGTTTATAAAACAGAGCATTTATTTTAATTGTTATATTGATTAACATGTGAAAATAAAAATTTCTTTTGCATAAAAGTTACATACGTTTTTACATATATACATTTTTTAGACAGGTATGGGCGAGTTTTTCTAATTCATCGATTAATCAATCGTATTGTGCATAAATATAAGTTTACTTCGTAAAAGATGCATGTGCACATGATACAATTGATCAATCGATGAATTAAAAAACTCGCTTTATTTATACAAAGAATATTTCAAATGTCATGCAAATTCTTGCACCTACGTACATCTAAAATATGTTTATTACAATGGTATTACATATATTTACATATATATCTCAATGTGACACATTACTTTTAAATGTTTCTACTGAAATATTTCATGATTGGTGTTCATTATGTTATTGGCAATATTACTTGATATACGACAGTGACGATTACATATGTAGTTAATTGATTAATAGTAAAAAAGATATCAAAATTAAAATATTATAAATTCCCACATTCATTTTATAAAATGAATTCAATGTTTATAAAAGCTGACATAATTGGCAATTTGTAAACTGTGTCCTGACAGATGTATAACATACTAAAAACTTACAAAAAGCAAATAAATAAATATAAATTTCTTACAGGTGTTAAACATTTCCAAAAATCAATAAATATGTTCCATAAATAAGGAAACATATGAAGACCAAGCATGCTGCTATCATAAAGGACTTTGAGTTTTCCTTTCTTAAATTTTGCAACTCCTTTTCATTTCGCCCGAGAACTTCCTTAACTTCCTCCAGCTCGTTCTCCAATTTCTCTCGATTTTCTGTGGTAAGTAATTTCGTCTTAAGTTTCCTTTCGATTACTTCGACTCTGTACAAGGTATCTTTTAAACTCTCTTCCACATGTTCCATCTAAAATGTAAAGATTAAAATAATTTGGAACTTTCAGTCGACAGGTTGAAAAAAAGCAACCAGATTATCAGTACCTTCGTGATGATGGTATCATGTCGTGTCATTGTGTACAGTCGAATGTACACTCAGTATCACTCAATGAATTTCTTGACACTTGCAAAGTTGTATTTCTATTAACAAGTGTGACACATGTTGCTACATGTGAGGAAATAAACTAAAGAGAGTCAGCTGACGATATATGTTGTACATACAGCGTTGAGAGTGCCATCATGCTTGAAGCTGCTCCAGGCTCCAGCTTGCGAATGAATCGCATCTAGATACATGTTCCTGCACCATGATTGTTGGTTCAAGAAAAAACTCAGTCGTTTTAAAAACTAAGGTAATTTTCACTAAAAACTCCGATTAATTTGATCGTCGATTAATTCATCGATACCTGTCCTATTTTGTTAACACAGAGAGAATTATTGATTTTTTGTCGACACATGGAAAAAAGTTAGATTAATAGAAATAAATTATACACAATTAGAATTTTAGTTTATGTTTAAGTCTATTAGTTGAACTTTAATTATCGATTAACTTAATCGAATTTTAATTTTAATTTTATTGTTTTATGCTGTCACGACTAATGAATTGCTAAATTAATAAATAATATTATTGAAAATTGCAATATTTTTCTATTGTTAACTATGTCAAAAGTTAAGATGACTTAATAATTGTAACTGCATTAAATATTGATTTTTTGATTTATCTTTTTACATCACGTTTTATACTAATGAGGACAAAATTCAAAGTGTTTCTATTAATGTCACTTTTAAACATGCATTCATTTACATATATTCCTATGAATTAGATAAGGATAACAAGGAATAAACATTATAAACTAGGTGATCTAAACGAGACAAATTTAGACACTTCAATATTTCATTGTTAATAATTATAAATATAATTTGTTTCATAACTTCAGTATATTGTACAGAGAATAACCTTTGATCGCTAATTAGAGAGTTTCAAATTACAATCTGTATATCCGTGTCCAGAGAGATGTTTTCCATGATCTTACAATTAACTTATCCACAAAAATGATCAAATGTAGCTCGCTGCCTTCAATGTTATCTACCTTGCTAAAAGATAGTATCCGTATCGACATTTTTTTTTCTTCGTTCAACAATTATAAAAACGATGATCAAACGATGTGTGAAGCTTTTGGCTCCAAATGATAAATAAAACGATTAATAGAGGATAACAAAATAAATAAAGATGCAACAATAGAACTATTAAGTTATCACTTGGTCTAGTTCATCAATCTTTCATCTTTATATGAAAAGAAAATCGACCGAAAACTGCTCCCACAATATATTTATTCGCTTCTAAGTGAATAAATATTGGTAGCTAAACCACTGTTTCACACTTTTAAGCTACAACACTTTCGTACACATCTTCTGAACCTACAAGGAGTTATTTATAGTATTTCCGAGTATTATTGCAAAGATAACGCAATGATATGTATACATCTTAAAGTACAAATGATAATCATAAATCAAATGTAAGTTGAGTAGTAATATGCTCCAAGTTTTACAATATCAGTAATACAGCGAGGAATGAGAGAATATATATAAAAATTACGCCTATTCTTTATTTCTTTCTAAAAAAATAATTTTTTTTGTTTCGTTATTTCCGAATTGCAACATTATTAATATAAATCGATTAATTGAAAAATAATAAAACGTACGTGATAACATCTGTTATTAAAAAATTGATCATTCAGTGATTTGACACACACCATTACACAACAATTTCCAGGTTAAAATATTATGTTTTAGATTCGAAAATGATTGACAAAATTCATTAAAGTTTTATGAAATGGCAAATCCATAATTGACATATTAGAAAAATACAAGCTAATTATCATCATACTAGAGATAAGTGATAACAAAATTATTGTCGATAATAGTTCTTGTATAGTACAGTTCTTATACAGTACTAGACATAGAACTGTTCCAACAAAGAGCACAATGCCTATATACATATATTTTAATAGATATATAAAGATATAAAGATTTCTCTAGAAAAAACCGAGCAATTTCGCAAAAATAGTAGGGTAACAAGAACACAAGTTACATTGTCGTGCGAAATATTAAGAAATCGATAACACACGTGAATTTTTCATTAAATCAGACAATTTGCTCATCGCTATATTATTAACTTTGCTTTATGATTAATCGTGCTGCTCTTAATTTGATTCTAGAGATGGAAAACTGATTCAACAGACCAGGTGATATCGTGGACATATTTTACACTTCATATAAATTCTAAAAATCTTGAAATCAGGTATGAGTATAAATACCGAGACTCCGACTTATGTGTTACTATATAACAATTCATGAATCCAAACACTTTCAAAAATCCAATAGTTTCAAGAAAAAGACAAAAAAACTTTAGGAACGCGGAAGCTTTGAAATGCTGAAGACTCACTGGAACACAAAACATTTAACATTTGAGGAAATATTGATTTCGCAAATATCCAACATGTAACTAATTTATGTGAAAATGTTTTGTGTTCGCATATATGTCTATTTAGCAACTCATTTTTAGGAGAATGATACTCTCTCTCTATGGACGATCATTCGGTATCCAAATATATTTTAAGTGCTCTCTCCCGACGTGGACTATAACTCGAAGTAGTAGAAAGCGGCGTTAAGCGTGAATTTTCCTTAAAAGCGATCTCCATTACCTCGTCAGCATTTAATTGTTTTGGTTTTTCTCTATTGTCCCTAAAACAATCCAAACGTTTAGTGAAATTAAAAGGTATTTCGTACATCAATTTAACAAATATAATAAATATATACCTGTACAAGAAGACGGCACCATCTTCAAAATTGTAAGATAAACTATCGTGATGTTCGTTCCAATCATGCTCGTTTTGGATTCGAAGCACAGAATTGTCACACGGAAAACTACCTTTCCCCTTTGCTATATCTATATGCTCCTCAGGAATATCTGATGTTGAGGAAAGCTAAAAAAAAAAGAACAATAATTATTTAAGTCCATTTTATCTTCTTATCGATACAAAACGACTTTTTTTTACGTGACTTACTTTCTTTTTCAGTTCTTCAACAGTTCTATTATCCATAACAATTTCTTGAAATTGTCCCAATTGCAATTTTGCTGGTAGCCACCTTCTGACAAACAGGACAATCTGATTGGTATCTGTGACTGTCTCTTTATCTGATAGTTCTTGAACAATCATTTCAAACTGCGAATGAAATTGGAGATCCTCAAATTTCTGTTCGTTTAGAAATACTTTTGAGGCTGTTTTGTAATACTTTTTCCTAAGTCGGCATTTTTCATATGGTATATCTATATCATATTTTCTCTTTATTTCTGCCAGTATCTCTTTTTTTGCATGTCCAACCGTCATATCTTTCGAGACAATCCATTCACATAAAAATTTGTAAGGCTAGAATTTTTATCCACATAATAAGAAATCTTGATAACACACTAATGACACACAGATTTTTCTTTCTAAGCATGCAAAACATAAAAAATATGATACAAACCTCAGTGGAGTCGATTAATAGTTGATACAATTTTACTTTAAATTCTCCATTACGCAAAGCTCGGCCGAGTTTCACATTAAATCTCTCACCATCCTCGTACGAACTAAGCTGTTCCATCAAACAATTGCATTCTGATTCATCAGAATTCGATAGATGAAACACTTTAAAATACTCCACAGGTACACCCACAAATGGTTCTAAATCTTTCTTCAACGTGTTCAATCTCATTCTTTTATCCACTAATACTTTAAGTACTGTAAAAAAGAAAGAGATTATTAAATTATAGAACCAATAGTCATAGTCATTAAAACGTTGATTTTAACGACATACAGTTTTGTTGAGTACTATCAGTATATGGTGTAGCTCTAAAGTAATAATCGGAGTCATCATCAATATCCCAGTTTTCTATTTCGAATCGCTTTGAAATCTTATAGTATAAGTTGCGCCTTCGAAATTTTGATGTTACGTTGCAATCACATCTATCCCACGCTTGTGGTTCAATATCGACACCCTCTGGTGCATCGCCAACCAACGTTTTATCACTATCACTAAGGCTGCTATCTTCACTATTACTTTGTTCAGGAGTATACCATTCCTCAGCTTCCCCTAACTGAGGACTTATATTTCGTATAGTAGCATCCTCGTTAGTTCGTGCACTTTTCAAGGGTTCATTGCATCTCAAATTAACATCCCAATCAGATTCATCAACGAATATAAGTGGACCACTAGTAACAGACTTTTCCTTTTCTTCGTATTTATCATCTAACAATGGGATATTTAGTTCTTCCAATGTTTCTGCATAAAAATTATAACAAATTAGAATGTTTGTAATTACAATTGTAACTACTATCTGACATTCTATAAGCTATTTAAAAATCGTACCTTTACTTGTATCTGGTAACTGAACATGCAGAGAGATAACATGTCTAAAATTTCCTATAATTCTGTGTACTGTAGATTCTTGAAAAGGTTTGCTACTATCTATATCATACATCGTTGATATGAATACTTTATTCGCGTTATAAAATCCTTCAGTTTGAAGATCACTATCATCATTTTCCACTGGTCTAGTTTCCGGGAATTTTTGCAATATTACTTTCATTTGCTTAGGATCCATATTAATAATTTTTCCTACGGTTTGTTTATATTCTTTAACACTTTGCGACAATAAACCTCGGATATTGATCGGACCGTCAATTACCTCCTCTCGAGTTACGTCTATGACAAATACTTTAGTTGCAACTCCTGAAACATAACATTTACAAAGTTTGAATTGTGACTGTATATAATTCATTTCACACACACATCCATCTAATTCCGTACTCACCACCCGGTAAATACGTCTCAAACTTTTGATCTTTGCGACGAATTTCTAATAATAAATCGAATCGACGTGAAAAACGCCATATATTTCCAACAGATTCATGCTCTCGATCATCGTAACTACATTCTATTAAATCAGTATTATGTTCATAAACATAACTAACTAAACGACACTGATCCAAACTCACTACATTTTCAAGACCAAATTTCTTATACGCTTTTTCTGTTGCTTCGGTCCAAGTGATATCAGGCATGACAAATAATTTGACATTCGTCAATTTCCCTTCTACCGGATGATGACAGTATACTTTCAACTTAGCTATAGACATTTTCTCACGATTTTTTCTATCGTTATCTTCACTTTCTTTCATTTTCTTTAATAGCTCCTATAAATAAGATGGTAAAAATAATGTATTAAATAATATAGATTATCTTAAAAAAAAGGAAGACTAGAAAAGCTTTTGCATATACAATTG